CTGCAGTAGTACTCAATAACTTTTTTTCTTGCAGTTTTTACTGGTAAGTTTACCTTCAGGAATCTCAATCCCATGAGACCAGCAGGAAAGGCTGGAGCAAAGAAGAGTTATTCCTGGTGGTGAAGGGTCAGCTTAGGAAACCTTTAAACTGCACAAGTAAGTCCCTGGGACTTGATGCATTACACCCACAAATGCTGAGGGATCTGGCTGACATCAGTGCAAAGCTACTCTCGATTGCCTTTAAAAGGTCACACCCATCAAAGCAGGTTGCTGAAGACAGAAAAGGCCATTCCTATCTTCCAGAGAAGAAAAGAGGAGGATCTTGGGGAACAACATGCCAGTCAGCCTCACTTTGATACCTGGGAAGGTGATGGAGTAAATAAACCATTTCCCAGCATGTGAAGGTCAAGAAAGTGACTGAGAGTAGTCGACATGGGTTTACAGTGATAAAATTAAACCTCCTCAGCCTGATAGCCATCTATCATGAGATGCCTCGCTTGCTGAACAAGGGAAGAGCAGTGGGTGCTGTCTTCACTTTAGTAAGGTTTTTGACACTCTCTCATGGTGTCCTCACAGAAAAGACTGATAAAGTACCGACTAGATAAGTCGACAGTAAGATGGACTGAAACCTGGCTGAACTGCTTGTGATCAGTGGCCTAAAGTTCAGCTGCAGGTCAGTCCCAGGTAGTCTAGACAACTGTGAAATCCAAAGCTATTTGACATTGTTAGTGACCTGGACAATGTCAAGGTGTGTGCACTCAGGAAGCTTCATGGGATGCAAAGCTGCAGGGAGTGGTAGATAACCTGATGATTGTGTGGCCACTCAGAGGGAATTGGCGGGCTGGAGAAATTAACTTCTTATGATAACCTCTCTGTTCAACAAGGGGAAGTGCCAAGTCCTGAACCTGGACCAGTTTCCCTTTGCTCAGTCCTGGTGAGACCATGCTTGGAGTGCTGTGTCCAGTCCTGGTCTCTGTGCTATGAGAGACATGGTGCACTACACTGAGTCCAGCAAAGGGCCATGAAGATGATGAAGGGGTATGAGGAGAAGTTAAAAGGACTGGGACTCTTCAGCTGTAAGAGGAGAAAGAGCTGGGATTGTTATCAGTGTGTATAAATGCCTGACAGCATAAAAGAGTAAAGAAAATGGAGCTGGATTCTTCTCAGTGGTGCTCAGTGCCAGGATGGTGGTCAATGGGAACAAAATAAAATACAGGAAAATCTGTTTAAGTGTCATGAAAACATTTTAAATGCAAAGGCTGTCAAACACTGGAACAAATTACCTACAGAAGTGATGGAGTCTTCATCCTTGGAGATATTCAAAACCCACTGGAACATGGTTCTTCTGCCCCTGCTTTGAGCAGCATGGTTGGACTGGATGATCTCTAAAGGTTCTTTTCCATCTCAACTACTATGTGATTTTTTTGTCATGTTTCTGACTTTCTGCAGATGTGAACAGTGTCATTTCAAACTGCCAGCTTAATTCCTGACTCCTCTTCCATCATAAACAACTAGGCTCTTTTGTTTTTAAACTGAGGCTCTGTGTAACCAGTTACCATCTGCTCTTGTACAAATTTCTGTTGTTGTCAGCTGAAATAGAGGGTGGGAGAAAAAGGCTTCACATGGTAGGAGCTTGTAGTATTGGAGCTCTGCTTGATCAATTAATAAATTTGCAGGCTTTGTACTTGAGCAGTCTTTCCTCTTGTTCATGTCCTCTGTCTTAGTAGCTGTTAGTCTTGACCCTGTCTCACTACAAACCGCAATAACAGATACAGCTCAGCAGGTTGATTATCTGGGTAGAAAGTTGAAAATCTTCAAAAGAAATTATTTAGCCACTTAGTAGGTGTCTGTGTCACTAGTCCAGTTCCACATTATATTTTCACCTTCTACCACAGAATTACTGTGTGTGACTTCTTGTTTCATTAAAGTGATAGCTTTTAAATCACTGCCTGTGTTGTGAGAGTGGGTTCAGTAGTAGTCACCATCTGTAAAGGCCAATCATGGTCTTCAGGTTGCCTTTCTAACTTAAATGAAACTTAGTGTTGTTCACTGTAAATGAACAACAGTAGGTGGATCATGTTTTTTTTCCTAAGACTTGTAAATAGAACTGATATTCTTGAATAACTATGTCTAGCTGGTGGTGTGTGCATACAGCAGCTCCAGACCAGTCATTCCCAAGACAAGCCTGTGGAGGCAGGCTCGCAGTTCTGGTGTGCAATGCCTGCAATCAGAAGGTTTTGTCTCCCAACATCGCTCCCCTTCAGATCGCAACTCTTCTACCCTCTTTTTAAAGCCCTACTTGCTAAGGGAGATTATGAAGTACGGCCAGAAAAGTCAATACTGTCCCGGCTGTGTGTCAGCACCCTCTAAAAGTGTTGAGCTTGACTTCCTGATGGTGTTTTATCCAGCGTGCATGTCAACATCTCTTCCAAATTTGGTTACTGC